GTAACAGGTGTGTGAGGTGTTTACTACGAGTCAGGTAACAGGTGTGAGGTGTTTACCACGAGTCAGGTAACAGGTGTGAGGTGTTTACTACGAGTCAGGTAACAGGTGTGAGGTGTTTACTACGAGTCAGGGTAACAGGTGTGAGGCGTTTTACTACGAGTCAGGTAACAGGTGTGAGGGTTTACCACGAGTCAGGTAACAGGTGTGAGGCGTTTACTACGAGTCAGGTAACAGGTGTGAGGCGTTTACCACGAGTCAGGTAACAGGTGTGTGAGGTGTTTACTACGAGTAGGTAACAGGTGTGTGAGGCGTTTACTACGAGTCAGGTAACAGGTGTGAGGTGTTTACTACGAGTCAGGTAACAGGTGTGAGGCGTTTACTACGAGTCAGGTAACAGGTGTGAGGTGTTTACTACGAGTCAGGTAACAGGTGTGAGGCGTTTACTACGAGTAAGGTAACAGGTGTGAGGCGTTTACCACGAGTCAGGTAAACAGGTGTGAGGTGTTTACTACGAGTCAGGTAACAGGTGTGAGGCGTTTACTACGAGTCAGGTAACAGGTGTTGAGGCGTTTACTACGAGTCAGGTAACAGGTGTGAGGCGTTTACCACGAGTCAGGTAACAGGTGTGAGGGTGTTTACTACGAGTCAGGTAACAGGTGTGAGGCGTTTACTACGAGTCAGGTAACAGGTGTGAGGCGTTTACCACGAGTCAGGTAACAGGTGTGAGGCGTTTACTACGAGTCAGGTAACAGGTGTGAGGTGTTTACCACGAGTCAGGTAACAGGTGTGAGGCGTTTACTACGAGTCAGGTAACAGGTGTGAGGCGTTTACTACGAGTCAGGTAACAGGTGTGAGGTGTTTACTACGAGTCAGGTAACAGGTGTGAGGCGTTTACTACGAGTCAGGTAACAGGTGTGAGGTGTTTACTACGAGTCAGGTAACAGGTGTGAGGCGTTTACTACGAGTCAGGTAACAGGTGTGTTACGTTTACCACGAGTCAGGTAACAGGTGTGAGGTGTTTACTACGAGTCAGGTAACAGGTGTGAGGTGTTTACTACGAGTCAGGTAACAGGTGTGAGGCGTTTACTACGAGTCAGGTAACAGGTGTGAGGTGTTTACCACGAGTCAGGTAACAGGTGTGAGGTGTTTACCACGAGTCAGGTAACAGGTGTGAGGCGTTTACTACGAGTCAGGTAACAGGTGTGAGGCGTTTACTACGAGTCAGGTAACAGGTGTGAGGCGTTTACTACGAGTCAGGTAACAGGTGTGAGGCGTTTACTACGAGTCAGGTAACAGGTGTGAGGTGTTTACTACGAGTCAGGTAACAGGTGTGAGGCGTTTACTACGAGTCAGGTAACAGGTGTGAGGTGTTTACTACGAGTCAGGTAACAGGTGTGAGGCGTTTACTACGAGTCAGGTAACAGGTGTGAGGTGTTTACTACGAGTCAGGTAACAGGTGTGTTACGTTTACCACGAGTCAGGTAACAGGTGTGAGGTGTTTACTACGAGTCAGGTAACAGGTGTGAGGTGTTTACTACGAGTCAGGTAACAGGTGTGAGGCGTTTACTACGAGTCAGGTAACAGGTGTGTTACGTTTACCACGAGTCAGGTAACAGGTGTGAGGTGTTTACTACGAGTCAGGTAACAGGTGTGAGGTGTTTACTACGAGTCAGGTAACAGGTGTGAGGTGTTTACTACGAGTCAGGTAACAGGTGTGAGGCGTTTACTACGAGTCAGGTAACAGGTGTGAGGTGTTTACTACGAGTCAGGTAACAGGTGTGAGGTGTTTACTACGAGTCAGGTAACAGGTGTGAGGCGTTTACTACGAGTCAGGTAAACAGGTGTGAGGGTGTTTACTACGAGTCAGGTAACAGGTGGTGAGGTGTTTACTACGAGTCAGGTACAGGTGTGAGGTGTTTCCTACGAGGTCAGGTAACAGTTGTTACGTTTACCACGAGTCAGGTAACAGGTGTGAGGTGTTTACTACGAGTCAGGTAACAGGTGTGTTACGTTTACCACGAGTCAGGTAACAGGTGTGAGGTGTTTACTACGAGTCAGGTAACAGGTGTGTTACGTTTACCACGAGTCAGGTAACAGGTGTGAGGTGTTTACTACGAGTCAGGTAACAGGTGTGAGGTGTTTACTACGAGTCAGGTAACAGGTGTGAGGTGTTTACTACGAGTCAGGTAACAGGTGTGAGGTGTTTACTACGAGTCAGGTAACAGGTGTGAGGTGTTTACTACGAGTCAGGTAACAGGTGTGAGGCGTTTACCACGAGTCAGGTAACAGGTGTGAGGTGTTTACTACGAGTCGGGTAACAGGTGTGTGTTTGTCTCACTTGTGCATGTGCTGGGCTCCGGTCAGCAACATGATGACGTAGGTGAGTCCGCTCTGCAGCAGGAAGTGAAGCGCGTACCTGCACACAAACAGGAAGTCACTCTCAGAGCAGCTGCAGAGTAGAATTACAACAACATCATATACTGTTTATAAGAGACACCTTCAAAGGACACTTATTGTGCTAAACCCTCTTCTTCATGTCTCTTCTTCATCAACATGTGTCCCCTCTTCTTCATGTCTCTTCTACATCAACATGTGTCCCCTCTTCTTCATGTCTCTTCTTCATCAACATGTGTCCCCTCTTCTTCATGTCTCTTCTTCATCAACATGTGTCCCCTCTTCTTCATGTCTCTTCTACATCAACATGTGTCCCCTCTTCTTCATGTCTCTTCTTCATCAACATGTGTCCCCTCTTCTTCATGTCTCTTCTACATCAACATGTGTCCCCTCTTCTTCATGTCTCTTCTTCATCAACATGTGTCCCCTCTTCTTCATGTCTCTTCTACATCAACATGTGTCCCCTCTTCTTCATGTCTCTTCTTCATCAACATGTGTCCCCTCTTCTTCATGTCTCTTCTACATCATACATGTGTCCCCTCTTCTTCATGTCTCTCTCATCAAAATGTGTCCCTCTTCTTCATGTCTCTTCTACATCAACATGTGTCCCCTCTTCTTCATGTCTCTTCTCATCAACATGTGTCCCCTCTTCTTCATGTCTCTTCTTCATCAACATGTGTCCCCTCTTCTTCATGTCTCTTCTACATCAACATGTGTCCCCTCTTCTTCATGTCTCTTCTACATCAACATGTGTCCCCTCTTCTTCATGTCTCTTCTTCTATCAACATGTGTCCCCTCTTCATGTAATGTCCCTCTTCTTCATGTCTCTTCTTCATCAACATGTGTCCCCTCTTCTTCATGTCTCTTCTTCATCAACATGTGTCCCCTCTTCTTCATGTCTCTTCTTCATCAACATGTGTCCCCTCTTCTTCATGTCTCTTCTACATCAACATGTGTCCCCTCTTCTTCATGTCTCTTCTGCATCAACATGTGTCCCCTCTTCTTCATGTCTCTTCTTCATCAACATGTGTCCCCTCTTCTTCATGTCTCTTCTACATCAACATGTGTCCCCTCTTCTTCATGTCTCTTCTACATCAACATGTGTCCCCTCTTCTTCATGTCTCTTCTTCATCAACACGTGTCCCCTCTTCTTCATGTCTCTTCTTCATCAACATGTGTCCCCTCTTCTTCATGTCTCTTCTTCATCAACATGTGTCCCCTCTTCTTCATGTCTCTTCTACATCAACATGTGTCCCCTCTTCTTCATGTCTCTTCTTCATCAACATGTGTCCCCTCTTCTTCATGTCTCTTCTACATCAACATGTGTCCCCTCTTCTTCATGTCTCTTCTACATCAACATGTGTCCCCTCTTCTTCATGTCTCTACATCAACATGTGTCCCCTCTTCTTCATGTCTCTTCTACATCAACATGTGTCCCCTCTTCTTCATGTCTCTTCTTCATCAACATGTGTCCCCTCTTCTTCATGTCTCTTCTACATCAACATGTGTCCCCTCTTCTTCATGTCTCTTCTTCATCAACATGTGTCCCCTCTGTGGAAAGAGACTCTGAAAGTTTCAGGAACAAAGATTCTCTCTCTTTTTGATCCATTTTTATAAAAACCTGTCTGAAAATGAGCTGATCAGATTTTGGCCACTTGATGATGTCATAACGATGTTTTGTGTTGTGTAACCATTAGCCAATCAGCAACCAAGGTAACCCCCCCCTTATTGTCCTCTAACCACAGTGTTCCCCTCACCATCCGAAGCAGAAGAAAGCGAAGTAGAGCCCCAGGCCGGTGGCCACCAGGTGTCTGGTGAGGGGCCGGGTGCTGCTGGGAGGGAGGAAGAGACGAAACCAGAAGGCCGACAGCAACGCACCCAGCTGACACGCCACGAAGTTCACCTGCCAGACACAGAGCAGAGTCACACCTGCATCCGCTCTGAAAGAATCAGGTCTAAAAGCTCCAGACTCAGAGACAGCTTCATCCCACAGATCGTAAGTCAATTCAAAAAATCTTGAGGAAAAAATTGCGAAATTATGAAAAAAAAAAAGTTTCAGTGGAAAATTATATTTCGAAAGCCCCAAAAATGTCATATTTTTCAATGTTTAAAAAAATATTATTATGTCTCCAGTATAATATTGTTATTATTATTATGTGCAATGATCATTATACTATATTCCCAAATTGGGATTAATAAAGTACATTTGATCTTATCTTTACTCCTGCTGCTGCTCCATGAATATGTACTTCTATAAAAACATGTATTTTAATACTCTGTGCTTTATATTAAAAAAATGTATGCTTTAAGAAAATATTATATTTTTTATTAAAACGATTATTATGTCTCCAGTATAATATCGTTATTATTATAATTTGCAATAACCCTAACCTATCTACCACAGTCCATGCTGCTTCTCCCTGAATGTGTACTTCTGTAAAACATGCATTTGAATAGCCTACGCTTTTTATATATTATCTCTACTTTGCTGTAACACGTCGCCTCAGACCCCCGGCCTCCCCTCCTCTCTCCCCGGTGCTCAGACCCCCGGCCTCCCCTCCTCTCTCCCTGCTCTGAGTGTCTCTCTCCTCGGCCTCTCCTCTCCTCTCTCCCCGCTAGTGCCTCTCTCCGCGGTGCTCAGACCCCCGGCCTCCCCTCCTCTCTCCGCGGTGCTCAGACCCCCGGCCTCCCCTCCTCTCTCCCCGCTCTGAGTGTCTCTCCCCCCGGCCTCTCCTCTCTCCCCGCTCTGAGTGCCTCTCCCCCCGGCCTCTCCTCTCTCCCCGCTCTGAGTGTCTCTCCCCCCGGCCTCTCCTCTCTCCCCGCTCTGAGTGTCTTTCTCCTCGGCCTCTCCTCTCCTCTCTCCCCGCTAGTGCCTCTCTCCGCGGTGCTCAGACCCCCGGCCTCCCCTCCTCTCTCCCCGCTCTGAGTGTCTCTCCCCCCGGCCTCTCCTCTCTCCCCGCTCTGAGTGCCTCTACCCGCGGCCTCTCCTCTCTCCACGCTCTGAGTGCCTCTCCCCCCGGCCTCTCCTCTCTCCCCGCTCTGAGTCTCTCCCCCCGGCCTCTCGTCTCCCCCAGGCCTCCCTTCCCCCGGTTACCTGGTCCAGAGGCAGGCTGGTGATGTCGCTGAGTGGCTGCAGGAGGCTGGACCCGGTGCAGGAGGTGAGTCTGCTCTCCTCCTCCATGGCTCTGCGGGGCTGCGGCTCCTCTGGGTCCGGCAGGAGGAGCTCACAGGCGGGAGAGGAGGCTCCGTGATCCGCCGGCAGTCCGACTGATGATGCTGCTTCCTCCTCTTCCTCCTTCTCCTCTTCCTCAGTCTATCCGACTGATGATGCTGCTTCCTCCTCCTCCTCCTCCTCCTCCCCCTCCCCCTCTTCCTCCTCTTCAGTCTGTCTGTACCCCATCACATCATCTTCTTCATATTATTCTAAATACAGGGGAAATACACATGCAGTAACATCACCATGTGTGTTCTTATTGTGTTCTTTTATTTTTATTAACGTGTGCATACTTTTAAATAAGTAGACTATTCTCCTCTGCTGTTACAAGTAGAAGTACTCAGATCTTGTACTTGAGTAAAAGTAGAAGTACTCAGATCTTGTACTTGAGTAAAAGTAGAAGTACTCAGATCTTATACTTGAGTAAAAGTAGAAGTACTCAGATCTTGTACTCCAGTAGAAGTAGAAGTACTCAGATCTTGTACTTGAGAAGTAGTACTCAGATGTTGTACTCCAGTAGAAGTAGAAGTAGAAGTACACAGATCCAGAGGGGCGGTATTGCACCTTTAAGCTTGAGGCCGCAGTAGCACCGGAAGCAGAAGGTTTGTTTTGGTTTGTTAGCAGTTAGCAGTTAGCAGTTAGCTGTCATCATGTCGGCCACAGAGGACGACACGGAGCTGCGGGACCTTCTGATCCAGAACCTGGAGAACAACGGTCTGCTCAACAAGCTCAAGGTCCTCTTGTTAATACAAGTCTTTATATTATATCTTTATATCCGGTCTTTGTATGTGATATACCGGCTAGCAGCGCTAGGCTAATGTTAGCATCTCTTCACTGCCCAGAGTCCTGCTGGGAACCCGGACATGTTGAGAAACCACTAAGTAGATTCTATTTTCAGGATAAAACATGACACATTTAACCAGAAAGAGGACATATCTGTTCCCTCTGTGGACTGGTTATGACTGTTGGACCATTGGATACAGAGAGGAACATTATTACCTCTACTGTGGACATTTATCATCAAATAAATAAGCTGTCTGTCCAATCAAAATGATCCAGAGTCCCCTAAATCTTCCAAATGGACCCAAATGCATCAGAATCAGTCCACAGAGAGGACAGATATGACCTCTTTCTGGTTAGAACTGCCATTGTTGATCCTGTAAAGGTCAGAAATGACCTCAATAACCTCCAAAACCACTCCTAAAGTGTCCAAATCTGTCAAGACACGTTCTAACTATTGTCCACAAGCTATAATGTTAATTAACTCAACTTATATTAACTGTGTAAATGGTTAGCATCCATTAGTCTATATGAGCTGCAGACCCTACTCTACATGTCTATCAGAACCCTTTGGGTCTCAGCGTGTCTCTATGAGCTGCAGACCCTACTCTACATGTCTATCAGAACCCTTTGGGTCTCAGCGTGTCTCTATGAGCTGCAGACCCTACTCTACATGTCTATCAGAACCCTTTGGGTCTCAGCGTGTCTCTATGAGCTACAGACCCTACTCTACATGTCTATCAGAACCCTTTGGGGTCTCAGCGTGTCTCTATGAGCTGCAGACCCTACCCTACATGTCTATCAGAACCCTTTTGGGTCTCAGCGTGTCTCTATGAGCTGCAGACCCTACTCTACATGTCTATCAGAACCCTTTGGGGTCTCAGCGTGTCTCTATGAGAGGATGGTAAGGACCTGCTTTGTTCCCCTGTCTGACCCCAGCATGTCTCTGCTGTTTGCCTGCAGGCAGAGATGAGGGCAGCTGTGTTCCTGGCCATGGAGGAGCAGGACAAACTGGAGGTGGGTTTAACTCTTTTCACCGAGGGGCCACATACAGAAACATTTAGGAAGGTCTGGGCCGCTCACTAGAGGTCTATGGCCTCATAAGTTCAGCTATAAGTCGGTGAAATCAATCTGATGAAGTAAATGCTGTGTGATCAGACACCACAGCTCTCCAGAGGGGTTCACTATTCTGTCAGCAGCTCCTTCCTGACATCAGATCCTCAGAGTGATCATCAAGAAGTGAACAGTATAATAATAACTTTATTTAAACGTGTTTCTCAGAACAAGAAGTGAACAGTATAATAATAACTTTAATTAAACGTGTTTCTCAGAACAAGAAGTGAACAGTATAATAATAACTTTATTTAAACGTGTTTCTCAGAACAAGAAGTGAACAGTATAATAATAACTTTATTTAAACGTGTTTCTCAGAACAAGAAGTGAACAGTATAATAATAACTTATTTAAACGTGTTTCTCAGAACAAGAAGTGAACAGTATAATAATAACTTTAATTAAACGTGTTTCTCAGAACAAGAAGTGAACAGTATAATAATAACTTTAATTAAATGTGTTTCTCAGAACAAGAAGTGAACAGTATAATAATAACTTTATTTAAACGTGTTTCTCAGAACAAGAAGTGAACAGTATAATAATAACTTATTTAAACGTGTTTCTCAGAACAAGAAGTGAACAGTATAATAATAACTTATTTAAACGTGTTTCTCAGAACAAGAAGTGAACAGTATAATAATAACTTATTTAAACGTGTTTCTCAGAACAAGAAGTGAACAGTATAATAATAACTTATTTAAACGTGTTTCTCAGAACAAGAAGTGAACAGTATAATAATAACTTTATTTAAACGTGTTTCTCAGAACAAGAAGTGAACAGTATAATAATAACTTTATTTAAACGTGTTTCTCAGAACAAGAAGTGAACAGTATAATAACTTTATTTAAACGTGTTTCTCAGAACAAGAAGTGAACAGTATAATAATAACTTTATTTAAACGTGTTTCTCAGAACAAGACTCCCCTGGTGAACGAGAACCTGAAGAGATGTCTGAACACAAAAGATGGTGAGTTGTAGTTCCTGTTTCCTCCACAGGGCGGCGCTGTGCCGTCACACCAGCAGGACTCCTTCTCCTTTAAGCTATGGTGGTCTGATGGACGGAGAGGACGCACGTCAGGAACTAGAGAGGGGTCAAACTCATATAGAAACTGTTGTTAACGTGAAGCTGTCTGTGGCTCTTAGCCTTTCCTTCTTCTTGCTCTGGTAAACTCCATAGGCGCGTTCACACCGAGTACTTTTCACCGTACTTTTCCCGTTTAGTTCCGTTAGTACCCCTTATGTCGCGTTCACACCAAAAATAATACTTAGTGCCGGGAACTTTTACCCCCATTTTTAGTCCCTGCTAGAGAGGTGGTACCAAAAAAGTACCAATTTCTATTGGCTGGGCGGATTGGAAACCACGCCCCGTAAAACTCTGAAAAGTTTTGTGAAGCTGCCATTGTATTTGCTGGCATTAGCATTATTAGCATTAGCATTAGCCCCGCGCACCAACGCAGAGAGACTAACTTATGGCAACACAAAAGAAAACATGGGAGCGGTGGAGATGAGGAGGTGTCGGCGTTCTGGCGATTTACTCTGAAGGCTTCAGTAGAAGCTGCTGGGAGTCCCAGCAGCTTCTACTGAAGCCTTCCCCAACTCCGGGGAGTTCCGGCCGAGGACTCCGGGTGGCAGTATACGCCCTGAAGTGGTTTGCTGCCTGCCAGTAAACCCAAAGCAGAAGAAGACGAAGTGACGTCAGCGGCTCATTTGCGTAATCCTCCCTCAGGGAACTTATTCCGGTGTGAACGCGATCTGTACTTAGTGCCCTGGGGCAGAGTCCTACACGGGTCTGATTATCAAGACCCGCTCCCGCCCCGCACCCGCGGCGTGCAATACCGAACCCGCCCGCCACCCGCACATATTGCCAATTAGTTCCGCAAACCGACCCGAACCCGCATATCCTATGAGCAGTGAAAACATGCAATTATTAACACACACAGTTGCATATTTGGCTCAAAAAGCGTGGGATGTTGGTTCTGTTCTCCATCTAGGATGAAACCAAAAGCCTCCCAGACGATGGATTTCGCTCTTGAGGAAGAGTTATTGATAACGCTGTATTCTCCGAGCTCCGCCTTCACCTCAGCCATTTCCAATGTGGCGCGCTCAGCAGCAGATTGATGCGCTGCAGAGGTTATGATTATGCGCGGTCCCGAGGGGTCTGAGGATTTAAACATTACATTATTATTATTTTAATATATTTTTACCCGCGGGTTTCCCGACCCGATGCAGGACTCTGCCCTGGGGCACTAAGTGCCCTGGGGTACTAAGTGCCCTGGGGTACTAAGTGCCCTGGGGTACTAAGTGCCGGCACTAAGTACGGCAAAGTACTTGGTGTGAAAGCGGTTCATGTCCCACCTGGTGCTCTGCCCTTTGAGAGTCTCCTGACACACCGGGGACACACCGGGGACACATGGTGATGTAGAGAAGACATCACTTAGTGAGTCTCCTGACACACCGGGGACACATGGTGATGTAGAGAAGACATCACTTAGAGAGTCTCCTGACACACCGGGGACACATGGTGATGTAGAGAAGACATCACTTAGTGAGTCTCCTGACACACCGGGGACACACCGGGGACACATGGTGATGTAGAGAAGACATCACTTAGAGAGTCTCCTGACACACCGGGGACACATGGTGATGTAGAGAAGACATCACTTAGTGAGTCTCCTGACACACCGGGGACACATGGTGATGTAGAGAAGACATCACTTAGTGAGTCTCCTGACACACCGGGGACACATGGTGATGTAGAGAAGACATCACTTAGTGAGTCTCCTGACACACCGGGGACACACCGGGGACACATGGTGATGTAGAGAAGACATCACTTAGAGAGTCTCCTGACACACCGGGGACACATGGTGATGTAGAGAAGACATCACTTAGTGAGTCTCCTGACACACCGGGGACACATGGTGATGTAGAGAAGACATCACTTAGTGAGTCTCCTGACACACCGGGGACACATGGTGATGTAGAGAAGACATCACTTTGTGAGTCTCTTGACACACCGGGGACACATGGTGATGTAGAGAAGACATCACTTAGTGAGTCTCCTGACACACCGGGGACACATGGTGATGTAGAGAAGACATCACTTTGAGAGTCTCCTGACACACCGGGGACACATGGTGATGTAGAGAAGACATCACTTAGTGAGTCTCCTGACACACAGGGGACACATGGTGATGTAGAGAAGACATCACTTAGTGAGTCTCCTGACACACCGGGGACACATGGTGATGTAGAGAAGACATCACTTTGTGAGTCTCCTGACACACCGGGGACACATGGTGATGTAGAGAAGACATCACTTAGTGAGTCTCCTGACACACCGGGGACACACCGGGGACACATGGTGATGTAGAGAAGACATCACTTAGTGAGTCTCCTGACACACCGGGGGACACACCGGGGACACATGGTGATGTAGAGAAGACATCACTTAGTGAGTCTCCTGACACACCGGGGACACATGGTGATGTAGAGAAGACATCACTTAGTGAGTCTCCTGACACACCGGGGACACATGGTGATGTAGAGAAGACATCACTTAGTGAGTCTCCTGACACACCGGGGGACACATGGTGATGTAGAGAAGACATCACTTTGTGAGTCTCCTGACACACCGGGGACACATGGTGATGTAGAGAAGACATCACTTTGAGAGTCTCCTGACACACCGGGGACACATGGTGATGTAGAGAAGACATCACTTTGAGAGTCTCCTGACACACCGGGGACACACCGGGGACACATGGTGATGTAGAGAAGACATCACTTAGTGAGTCTCCTGACACACCGGGGGACACACCGGGGACACATGGTGATGTAGAGAAGACATCACTTAGTGAGTCTCCTGACACACCGGGGACACATGGTGATGTAGAGAAGACATCACTTTGAGAGTCTCCTGACACACCGGGGACACATGGTGATGTAGAGAAGACATCACTTTGAGAGTCTCCTGACACACCGGGGACACACCGGGGACACATGGTGATGTAGAGAAGACATCACTTAGTGAGTCTCCTGACACACCGGGGACACATGGTGATGTAGAGAAGACATCACTTTGAGAGTCTCCTGACACACGGGGGACACATGGTGATGTAGAGAAGACATCACTTAGTGAGTCTCCTGACACACCGGGGACACATGGTGATGTAGAGAAGACATCACTTTGAGAGTCTCCTGACACACCGGGGACACATGGTGATGTAGAGAAGACATCACTTTGAGAGTCTCCTGACACACCGGGGACACATGGTGATGTAGAGAAGACATCACTTTGAGAGTCTCCTGACACACCGGGGACACATGGTGATGTAGAGAAGACATCACTAAGTGAGTCTCCTGACACACCGGGGACACATGGTGATGTAGAGAAGACATCACTAAGTGAGTCTCCTGACACACCGGGGACACATGGTGATGTAGAGAGGACATCACTTAGTGAGTCTCCTGACACACCGGGGACACATGGTGATGTAGAGAGGACATCACTTAGTGAGTCTCCTGACACACCGGGGACACACCGGGGACACATGGTGATGTAGAGAAGACATCACTTTGTGAGTCTCCTGACACACCGGGGACACATGGTGATGTAGAGAAGACATCACTTTGTGAGTCTCCTGACACACCGGGGACACATGGTGATGTAGAGAAGACATCACTTAGTGAGTCTCCTGACACACCGGGGACACATGGTGATGTAGAGAGGACATCACATAGTGAGTCTCCTGACACACCGGGGACACACCGGGGACACATGGTGATGTAGAGAAGACATCACTTTGTGAGTCTCCTGACACACCGGGGACACATGGTGATGTAGAGAAGACATCACTTTGTGAGTCTCCTGACACACCGGGGACACATGGTGATGTAGAGAAGACATCAGATGCATGATAGACCTTTAATAAACTCATCTAACTGTGATGACAGAGTGAATGAATGAGAGCTCGTGATGCGTTCAGGAACCTCCGTCTTTGTGTCTGCAGGCCGTCTGGTGGCCGCTCTGATCCTGGACTTCCTGCAGGTGTTTCACCTGGACTTCAGCCTGGCCGTGTTCCAGCCTGAGATCAACTCTGTGAGTGAGGTCACTTCCTGTCTGCATGCTGTACCTGCTCCACCCAATAACTAACTAGCTCAGGAAGCAATGCTAAGGTTAGCTCATAGCTCAGGAAGCAATGCTAATGTTAGCTCATAGCTCAGGAAGCAATGCTAATGTTAGCTCATAGCTCAGGAAGCAATGCTAATGTTAGCTCATAGCTCAGGAAACAATGCTAATGCTAGCTCATAGCTCAGGGAGCAATGCTAGCTCATAGCTCAGGAAGCAATGCTAATACTAGCTCATAGCTCAGGAAGCAATGCTAATGTTAGCTCATAGCTCAGGAAGCAATGCTAATGTTAGCTCATAGCTCAGGAAACAATGCTAATGCTAGCTCATAGCTCAGGGAGCAATGCTAATGCTAGCTCATAGCTCAGGAAGCAATGCTAATGTTAGCTCATAGCTCAGGAAGCAATGCTAATGTTAGCTCATAGCTCAGGAAGCAATGCTAATGCTAGCTCATAGCTCAGGGAGCAATGCTAGCTCATAGCTCAGGGAGCAATGCTAATGCTAGCTCATAGCTCAGGGAGCAATGCTAGCTCATAGCTCAGGGAGCAATGCTAATGCTAGCTCATAGCTCAGGGAGCAATGCTAGCTCATAGCTCAGGGAGCAATGCTAGCTCATAGCTCAGGAAGCAATGCTAATGTTAGCTCATAGCTCAGGAAGCAATGCTAATGCTAGCTCATAGCTCAGGGAGCAATGCTAGCTCATAGCTCAGGGAGCAATGCTAATGCTAGCTCATAACTCAGGGAGCAATGTTAGCACATAGCTCTGGAAGCAATGCTAATGTTAGCTCATAGCTCAGGAAGCAATGCTAATGCTAGCTCATAGCTCAGGGAGCAATGCTAGCTCATAGCTCAGGGAGCAATGCTAATGCTAGCTCATAGCTCAGGGAGCAATGCTAGCTCATAGCTCAGGGAGCAATGCTAATGCTAGCTCATAGCTCAGGGAGCAATGCTAGCTCATAGCTCAGGAAGCAATGCTAATGTTAGCTCATAGCTCAGGAAGCAATGCTAATGCTAGCTCATAGCTCAGGGAGCAATGCTAGCTCATAGCTCAGGGAGCAATGCTAATGCTAGCTCATAACTCAGGGAGCAATGTTAGCTCATAGCTCAGGGAGCAATGCTAGCTCATAGCTCAGGAAGCAATGCTAATGTTAGCTCATAGCTCAGGAAGCAATGCTAATGCTAGCTCATAGCTCAGGGAGCAATGCTAGCTCATAGCTCAGGGAGCAATGCTAATGCTAGCTCATAGCTCAGGGAGCAATGCTAGCTCATAGCTCAGGGAGCAATGCTAGCTCATAGCTCAGGAAGCAATGCTAATGTTAGCTCATAGCTCAGGAAGCAATGCTAATGCTAGCTCATAGCTCAGGGAGCAATGCTAGCTCATAGCTCAGGGAGCAATGCTAATGCTAGCTCATAGCTCAGGGAGCAATGCTAGCTCATAGCTCAGGGAGCAATGCTAATGCTAGCTCATAGCTCAGGGAGCAATGCTAGCTCATAGCTCAGGGAGCAATGCTAGCTCATAGCTCAGGGAGCAATGCTAATGCTAGCTCATAACTCAGGGAGCAATGTTAGCTCATAGCTCAGGGAGCAATGCTAGCTCATAGCTCAGGAAGCAATGCTAATGTTAGCTCATAGCTCAGGAAGCAATGCTAATGCTAGCTCATAGCTCAGGGAGCAATGCTAGCTCATAGCTCAGGGAGCAATGCTAATGCTAGCTCATAGCTCAGGGAGCAATGCTAATGCTAGCTCATAGCTCAGGGAGCAATGCTAGCTCATAGCTCAGGGAGCAATGCTAGCTCATAGCTCAGGAAGCAATGCTAATGTTAGCTCATAGCTCAGGAAGCAATGCTAATGCTAGCTCATAGCTCAGGGAGCAATGCTAGCTCATAGCTCAGGGAGCAATGCTAATGCTAGCTCATAGCTCAGGGAGCAATGTTAGCTCATAGCTCAGGGAGCAATGCTAGCTCATAGCTCAGGGAGCAATGCTAATGCTAGCTCATAGCTCAGGGAGCAATGCTAATGCTAGCTCATAGCTCAGGGAGCAATGCTAGCTGCAGAATGTGACGCTGCTTTTAAGGCACTAGATGTGTTTGTATTGTGTGTGTGTGCAGGTGAGTGGGGGGGTGAGCCGGGAGCAGCTGTGCAGAGACCTGGGTCTGGGGGAGAACGAGGGGAACAGGAAGAGCCCTCTGCTGCTGGAGCTGGTGAAGAGAGGCCGGCACAAAGGGAGCCAGGTGAGTGAGTGAGTGAGAGAGAGAGAGAGAATATGTTACCACTAGGCGGCAGTATAACATCTATGGACATAGATGTTATAACATGTTCAACATGTGAGAAGTAGAAAGTACAGGTATTTGTGTTCAACATGTAAGAAGTAGAAAGTACAGGTATTTGGGTTCAACATGTAAGAAGTAGAAAGTACAGGTATTTGTGTTCAACATGTGAGAAGTAGAAAGTACAGGTATTTGTGTTCAACATGTAAGAAGTAGAAAGTACAGGTATTTGAGTTCAACATGTAAGAAGTAGAAAGTACAGGTATTTGTGTTCAACATGTAAGAAGTAGAAAGTACAGGTATTTGTGTTCAAAGTGTAAGAAGTAGAAAGTACAGGTATTTGTGTTCAACATGTAAGAAGTAGAAAGTACAGGTATTTGTGTTCAACATGTAAGAAGTAGAAAGTACAGGTATTTGGGTTCAACATGTAAGAAGTAGAAAGTACAGGTATTTGTGTTCAACATGTAAGAAGTAGAAAGTACAGGTATTTGTGTTCAACATGTAAGAAGTAGAAAGTACAGGTATTTGGGTTCAACATGTAGGAAGTAGAAAGTACAGTTATTTGTGTTCAAAGTGTAAGAAGTAGAAAGTACAGGTATTTGTGTTCAACATGTAAGAAGTAGAAAGTACAGGTATTTGTGTTCAACATGTAAGAAGTAGAAAGTACAGGTATTTGGGTTCAACATGTAAGAAGTAGAAAGTACAGGTATTTGGGTTCAACATGTAAGAAGTAGAAAGTACAGGTATTTGTGTTCAACATGTAAGAAGTAGAAAGTACAGGTATTTGGGTTCAACATGTAAGAAGTAGAAAGTACAGGTATTTGGGTTCAACATGTAAGAAGTAGAAAGTACAGGTATTTGTGTTCAACATGTAAGAAGTAGAAAGTACAGGTATTTGGGTTCAACATGTAAGAAGTAGAAAGTACAGGTATTTGTGTTCAACATGTAAGAAGTAGAAAGTACAGGTATTTGTGTTCAACATGTAAGAAGTAGAAAGTACAGGTATTTGTGTTCAACATGTAAGAAGTAGAAAGTACAGGTATTTGGGTTCAACATGTAAGAAGTAGAAAGTACAGGTATTTGGGTTCAACATGTAGAAGTAGAAAGTACAGGTATTTGTGTTCAACATGTAAGAAGTAGAAAGTACAGGTATTTGGGTTCAACATGTAAGAAGTAGAAAGTACAGGTATTTGTGTTCAACATGTGAGAAGTAGAAAGTACAGGTATTTGTGTTCAACATGTAAGAAGTAGAAAGTACAGGTATTTGTGTTCAACATGTAAGAAGTAGAAAGTACAGGTATTTGTGTTCAGAATGTAAGAAGTCAAAGTAAAAAGTGGTCAGAAAAATAAGTAGTGGAGTAAAGTACTGATACCAGAAAGATGTACTTAATGAAGTATTTGTACTCCAGTACTCCCCCCCTCTGGTAATAACTCATTTGAACTGTGTGCAGGTGTTGCAGGACTCTGAGGACAGGAGCCCCCCCCCGGCCGGCAGAAAGGTCCGTGTCGCTTCATCTCTCAGAACATCTCCTTCTGTGCACATATCCACGTGTTCGTGTTCTGAACTGAGACTGAGTCAGAGTCCAGGTTCTCTTCATGAGCAGAGTGTTGTAAACATGTTGGAGTCACATCCAGACTGTTTCACACGTTATATACAGATACGCCTTCAACACACTTTATCTCAACCGCCTGATTCAGAAACAGAGCAAAGACAAACTCAACAGTCGATTGTTTTGTCAGCCAATAGAGAGCCGCAGTGACGCGTCCTAAAACCCGGGAGGAAACTCCTTCCGGTTCCTTCCACAGAAACCAATGAGATCTCTCCATAGGGTTTAGAAAAACAGCTGTAAATCAGGTCTGTGGTTGAGACACATTGAAGAGACGGATCATGTTTTGTTCAGGATAATCTCCACATCTCTACCCTACTTTTATAATGTTCTAATCATAAATCTAATCTCCAGAAGCAAAATGCTAACGTGATGCTATAAAGGAACTACAGGCGAGTCCAGCAGCACGACTTCAACGTCACGCCAACTTCAGATCCATATTCAAACACACAGATTCTAAACTAAATGGTACGAGTTGAAGCGTTTGTTTGAACAGTTAGCAGGAGGCAGGGACTTGCTTTCAAGCAGAACAGGGCAAACTAACTTAGAGGAGTGTTTACGTGTTCGGAGTAATGACGTACAACGTCCTCCACGACTTCTGTAGTCCTATTCAGCCACTTGGTAACAACCATCGTTTTTCAGACACGTCAACTCTTCAGAAATCACTGCTATGGAGTCAGATTTGGGTCAATATTCTAGCGCGCAAAGAATCTACTCACGAGCGGGAAATGTGCTTTTACACGTGCATGAAATGACCCTCGCACGCAGATTAAACCCCCGAGAACGGCTATGTGCTCGCTCGCGAGAGAGACAGCCCTCTTGCTCGCTCGCGGGAGTGTCAGCCTCACTCGCTCGCTGAGTCTGTCTGCGCGCGCGTGAAAAGTTTCTGATACTTTGGGGCGGAGCCACTGGACTTTGATTGACAGCTGCCAGGAAGCCCGGAGTTGCCAGGTTTGATAAATGCCTGAACTACCAAGAGCCGAGGAGTGACAGCAGCAAGATCAGTTGGACGAGATTGAATGGAAAAGTTGTCCATAAAAAACTATTATATTCGTAAAGTGTACAGCTAATATATATATATATATATATATATATATATATATATATATATATATATATATATATATATATATATATATATATATATATATATATATATATATATATCAATTCATTTGATATAAAAAAAATGACACATTAATTCTAGGTGTAATACTTTTACAAACACTATAGTAATAATATGCATTCATTATGACATTAATATCATAATGTCAATGACATCTGATTGGCCGGGGATTGAACCCCTCTGATTGGCCGGGGATTGAACCCCTCTGATTGGCCGGGGATTGAACCCCTCTGATTGGCCGGGGATTGAACCCCTCTGATTGGCCGGGGATTGAACTCCGACCCTCAAAGGTTTTATTGTCATATGCTCCTAAGCTCCAATGCAACATATATCATAAAATACAACAATACAAATGGCTGAATGAGAGGTTTGTTGTTTCCTCTGCAGGCGGAGAAGGGCTCTGTGGGAGGAGGAGACGTCCGGCAGGAGGAGGAGGAGGAGGAAGATGAAGAAGATGAAGATGACCACGAGGACGACGGAGACTCGTTCTTCGACGACCCGATGCCAAAACCCCAGAAGACCTACGGCTGGTGAGCCCCCCCCCCCCACCCCCCTTTACTTTCACTACACCTGCTCCAACATGTGCTGGATGATGAGCAGGACCGGACTCGCCAACGCTGACGTTACACTGACCTCTTTCTGCCGACTGATATCTGCACATCGTCCCTGGATCAAGCGCCCTTAGCAACAGTCTGCTATCCTTAGCAACGGTCTCAATCCTTAGTAACGGTCTGCTATCCTTAGTAACGGTCTGCTATCCTTAGCAACAGTCTGCAGTCTGCTATCCTTAGCAACGGTCTGATATTCTTAGCAACGGTCTGCTATCCTTAGCAACGTTCTGCTATCCTTAGCAACGTTCTGCTATCCTTAGCAACAGTCTGCTATCCTTAGCAACGGTCTGCTATCCTTAGCAACAGTCTGCAGTCTGCTATCCTTAGCAACGGTCTGATATTCTTAGCAACGGTCTGCTATCCTTAGCAACGTTCTGCTATCCTTAGCAACAGTCTGCAATCCTTAGCAACAGTCTGCTATCCTTAGCAACAGTCTGCTATCCTTAGCAACAGTCTGCTATCCTTAGCAACAGGCTGTCCTTAGCAACAGTCTGCTATCCTTAGCAACAGTCTGCTATCCTTAGCAACACTCTGCTATCCTTAGCAACACTCTGCAATCCTTAGCAACAGTCTGCTATCCTTAGCAACAGTCTGCTATCCTTAGCAACAGTCTGCTATCCTTAGCAACAGTCTGCTATCCTTAGCAACAGGCTATCCTTAGCAACAGTCTGCTATCCTTAGCAACAGGCTATCCTTAGCATCAGTCTGCTATCTTTAGCATCTTTATTTTGAGTTTGTTTTGAGTGGTTCTCAGTGATTGAAACACAGTTGTGTGTTTCTGTAAAGCCGGACGTCTCCAGCGGGAGAGAAGGCCTCAGAGCGGACCAGCAGTCAGAAACAGTGAGTACCTCATATACCTATTATTATTCAAATGAGCTTTAAATAAATATATAATATCACTGTTAAAATGAGCGTTGAATGAGTGTGAGGGGGCTGGTCTTTGTATCAGGGGGCTGGTCTTTGTATCAGGGGGCTGGTCTTTGTATCAGGGGGCTGGTCTTTGTATCAGGGGGCTGGTCTTTGTATCAGGGGGCTGGTCTTTGTATCAGGGGGCTGGTCTTTGTATCAGGGGGCTGGTCTTTGTATCAGGGGGCTGGTCTTTGTATCAGGGGGCTGGTCTTTGTATCAGGGGGCTGGTCTTTGTATCAGGGGGCTGGTCTTTGTATCAGGGGGCTGGTCTTTGTATCAGGGGGCTGGTCTTTGTATCAGGGGGCTGGTCTTTGTATCAGGGGGCTGGTCTTTGTATCAGGGGGCTGGTCTTTGTATCAGGGGGCTGGTCTTTGTATCAGGGGGCTGGTCTTTGTATCAGGGTAGTCCTTCACTTGTGGGAAGAATACCACATTTTTTTATTTATTTTTATGATTTACTGTTTTATTTCCTGAATATTTGTTGTTCAAAAATGTGCCAATTTGGAATCAATAAATAAAATATATTAATCTTATTTTTCGACTACTTTCTAAAATATTGAGACTTTTCTTCTTATATTCAAACTTTTATCGTAATTTAGTTTTTCTTGTAATATTGGTCCTTTTGCTTTCCTCATCATAGAACACAACTATTTCCTAAAAACAAATCTCAAAATATACTTTTATTTGTATTTATACTTTGTGTAAAGAGACTCTCTCTTTACACAGAGGGGACACAAATGTCTCTTCCACATCAACATGTGTCCCCTCTGTGTAAAGAGACTCTCTTCACGATGTTTTGTCTTGTGTAACCATTAGCCAATCAGCAACCAAGGTAACCCCCCCCCCGCACCTTATCACCTGAATCTCCTCCTAGAGCACCATTGGTTCTTTGTAACCAAATCTCTCTCAGAGGGGCGTGGGGAGGGGCTCCTTATTTTCATCTGAAGTAACAGACAGAGAATCAGCACTTTGGAAACAGGGCTGAAACAGAGGGGATTATGGGTAATGCTGCAATGATCTGTTGCTGACTGTTTGTCCCCAGGCAGGAGGAGGCGTTCGGGGCCAGAGGGAGTCCAGCGGGGTCCCTGTCGGAGGCCCAGAGACCTGGAGGCGCCTCGGAGAGCAGAGGGAACGGTCCGTTACACTCGCATACAGAAACAATCCATCCTAGTGGCTAATAATAATACATTTGATTTATAAAGGCGCCTTTCAGGCTCTCAAGGTCGCCGGTGAGATGAGAGGAGGTGAGATGAGAGGAGATGAGAGGAGATGAGGTGAGGTGAGGTGAGAGGAGGTGAGATGAGAGGAGATGAGAGGAGGAGGTGAGATGAGATGAGAGGAGATGAGAGGAGATGAGATGAGGTGAGAGGAGGAGGTGAGATGAGAGGAGATGAAG